AAAAAAAAAAAAAGGGAACCCACACAAAATTCTATGAACAAAAGAACAAACCAGGCCAAAAAAATTACAGTATGTTCGGGGAGCCTGGTGGCTCAGTGGGTTTGGCGTCTCGATTTTGGCTCAGGCCGTGATCTCACGGTTCATGAGATGGAGCCCCACCTCGGGCTCCGTGCTGACAGTGTCGAGCCTCTCTCCTCTCGCTCGGCCCCTCCCCTGCTCACACTCACTTTCCCTCAAAAATAACTAAGTAAAAATTACAGTACATTGAAATAAATGGTGGTACGCACATACTCTGGAATACTATTCAGCAGTTAACAACGGTGAACTAAATGAACTGGAACTACAGGTCAAGTGGATCAATCCAGAGACAACACTGAATAAGAAACGCAGGTTGCAGGGGCACCTGGGTGGCTCGTCGGTTAAGCGTCAGACTTAGGCTCAGGTCATGATCTTGCAGTTCGTGGGTTCGAGCCCCGCATCGGGCTCTGTGCTGACAGCTCAGAGCCTGGAGTCTGCTTTAGATTCTGTGTCTCCCTCTCTCTCTGCCCCTCCCCTGCTCATGCTGTCTCCCTCTCTCTCAAAAATGAATAAACATTAAAAAAATAACTTAAAAAAATAAACTTTAAAAATAAATAATATAAATAGCAAAAAAAAAAAAAACAAAAAAACTTATTTGATCAGAGGAATACTCACATTCTCGAAAATCACCTAACTTGGTCAGGACCTCGCCCTTGAACAGCTGAATGACCTGTGTGACGATCTCTCGGTTTCGGCTCTGGCCCAAGGCATACAGGTACTTCTCCAGAAGAGGAACGTTTTTCAGATTCCAAATGAAGTTTTCTCGACGGAGGCAACTTAACTTTGGGTGATGGAATTTCTAAATCAAAGGCAAGAAACTCTTTAGAGTCTGGAGAGTCGGAGCGACCGCTACCTCGAGCTCCACAAACCCCCCCCCAGTGCTGGTCCCAGGAGCGCACGGGAGGGGCGCCACACTCAACAACTCGCCCCATTTAATCCCCCCACAAAACAATGACTGCATATTTGCACAGGGCCTCGTAGCTCTGAGGGCACGTGCCCATCTCCCTTCGCACCCATGATGGTGTGTCAGGGATTAGCCACAGCCTATGGCAGGGCCGGAGGCGGTTACAGAGAACTCTATTCTCCCCACGTGACCTGCCGGCCCCTCATCACCTCTCTGACTTCACCTTCTGCTGCTTTTGCTGACCGGTTGGAGAACACGCCAAGCACGGCTCCACCTCGCGGCCTCTGCGTGTGCTGTTTCCTCCTCGTGGGATACTCTTGCCCAGACCTCCGTTGGTCCAGGGTCTTCATTGCTACCAGCTCCTTACTCAAAAACCACCTTCTGTGGAGGGCGCCCTGACCAGTCCATCTAAAATCTCAGCCCTCTCTCCAATGCTTCAGATCCCTCTTCTCTGCTTGTTTTTTCTTCTTAAGGTGCGGCACATATTGCTAACATCCACCATACTCCACCCTCGCGCCTGCCTGTCCTCCCTAGAACGTAAGCTCCACAGAGAGGAGTTTTGTGCTTGGTCCCTACGCCTGGAATGGTGCCTGGTGCACAAAAGACACTGCTCAAGCAGTATTTGCCGAATAAATGAGCGTTCTTACAACAGAAAATTCTAGAACTGCCAGGGCCTTTAGATTTTGACCACTCTATCTGAGGTTTGAAATGGCTTTGACCATCGTTGCACAAAAGGGGAAAATGAGGTTTGGAGCAGGATAATGAGTTACTAGTGGGGGGCTGAGGGAGGGCTGACCTGTCCCAGAGTGGGGGGATCACCGGTGGAATAGTGTTTCTCCTGTGAGAAATACACTTTACATGACAACCCAGGATACTGCCAACACATAGAGAGGGGAAAAAAAGTCCATAAACGATACGTAGACTATTATGTGTGAGATATTCTGGTGTTCTCCATTGTATTCTATTTCTTTAAAAATGTGCCTCTAAATTCATTCTAACGTCCGCTCTCGAGACCTGGGGTTCCAAATCCTTCCCCTGACGTCCCTGCTTTTGCCACCACGTCCTTGAAGTAGCCTCGGTTTCAATACCTCGCACAGGAGGTACTTTTTACCCTTGAACGGTTCTGCCCTCTTCCTTCTGCTGAGCTAAACTGTCTCAGCAATAGTGTCCCTGCCGTGGGCTGTCACTGGGACATCCGTGCCAATAGTGTCCCTGCCGTGGGGTCTCGCTGGGCCGTCTGGGGCCGTCTGGAACACGGTCAGTGCTTCTCCCACATGACTGTCTTCCATGTACTCCCGGACAGGGCTCCTCCCCCTCAGAGCCTTCTCTTCTGCAGAGTCAACCTTTCTGGTTCCTTCCGTGAGTCCTCACATGACAGGGTTTTGAATTCCTGACCACTGGTGTGTTAAGTGCCACTGCAGATCACAAAAATACTCTGCATAGTAAGCACTAAAACACTGTTAGAAGCTGTGCCTTCTGGGGGGTAGCACTGGAACTAAGAATGGAGATGATAGGGAAGAGAAACAAATGTTCATTTTATGCCTTTCAGTACTGGGTGAAATTTCCACCATGCATATTTCTTACTTTCATTTTTTTGAGTTTATTTATTTTGAGAGAGAGAGAGAGAGAGAGAGAGAGAGAGAAAGCGCAAGCATGGGAAGGGCAGAGAGAAAGAGGAGAGAGAGAGAATCCCAAGCAGGCTCTGTGCTGTCAGCTTAGCACCTGACGTGGGGCTCGAATCCACGAGCCATGAGATCATGACCTGAGCCGAAACCAAGAGTTGGACGCCCAACTGACTGAGCCCCCCAGGCGCCCCTCTTACTTTCATTTTTAAAGAAAGTAAAATATAACACTCTTGCCGAGCTTCCAATGGAGCAACGGTCCACTCAGGAAGGCTCTGAGTCGGCTCCTAAAATGGTGGCACTGTTAGCCATGCAGCCCACAGGACACCCTCTCGGCTCCGGCAGGAGAAGTGGGAGACCACCCGGAATCCAGGCCAGGAGTCACACACGGCTGGGTTTCAACAGGCTCTGCCACTTAATATCTCGGATCTGTTTCTTGACGGTGAAATCAGAGTATCAACACCAGCTTCCCAATCGTCTCTGGTAAACTAAGACGCGAAACAAATCAAGACCTCATATGTAGCGGGTGCTCAGCAAAGGTTTGTTGAACATGAATGTTGCAGCCAATGCGCCCGACTTCTCTGGCCTTTCTCTCCTGGCTCCTCGGTGCGCCATGCCGAGCTCCTGAGGGTTTCATCACTACTGCATTAAATGTAAACATCCCGACTGAAGGGCACAGATGGTTAGACTAGATAAAATAGCAAGACCCATGTACACACTGCTTGCAAGAAGGACCCGTAATATAGAGGCTGTGGGCATAAAGCAGCCAAGCATTTTTTCCACTCAGTCTCAGGAGATTGTAAATATCAAGTCTCTGGGACAGAGGGCATAAAAATCCCCTAAATCTTACTGTTGGGTGTTCCCAGCCCCGTCCCATCTCTTAGTTCCTGCTAAGTCTCCACCTTACTCTTCTCGCTAAAGCACCAGCCGGATGGAAAGAAACTGTGGGCAGAAGCAAGGAGTGACTCGGGCAAGCTGACCACAGTAGCCACAAAACGGGCACAATGTGAGGTCAGTGGAGGCTGCTCTGCTTCGTCTACGGCAAGAAGCCTTTGCCGGCACAGATCTCAGCAACCACCAGCCCCCATCTCTGATAGTTCTCCTAGTTCTCCCCCTCTTCATCCCTCCTGTCCTCTGCTCCGGGCTACAAAGGCCACCTCGTGACTGATGTCAGGGGAGAATGCTGCCTACTTGTGCGCGGGGCTGTGACCCAGCAGACACAGGTGCGAACCCACGTCTCGCTCAGCCCCTCCCTCTCCCACAGGCTTCACATTAAATCAATCACCAACTTGGCTCTGTCTCCAAAAGATATCTTGAACCTTTCCTTCAAGCTTGAGGAGACCTTCAAGCTCTCAATCCACGTTTATCTGATTATTCATTAGCTTCCTAGATGCATTCCCTGCCACCATTCTGGCTTTCTGCCAATCCATCCACCACACTGATCCACAGAGTGCTATAAACTAGAAATCTTTGCCTGTTTAAAAACCCTCCAAAGTCCCTAAGCTCCTCAGTATCGTATATGCTGATGTATCTTATAATCTGACCACGGGATGTTTCCAACTTTATCTTCTGTCTCCCTCAGGCTTAACCCCTGTATTCCAAGCATAACGAATTACCAGAAGTTCTGGAACATGATCATTTACCGGCATGGCTGTAGCCTCTAGCTAGAAAGCCCTCCCTCCTTCTTCTCTGACTGATGGGTTCCTAACTTTTAAGAACCAGCTCATAAGTTGCTTCTTTTTTTTTTAATCCAGTCCTCCTTGAATACCTGCTATGTGTTTCACACTGTTAGACAGCAAGGGAAAAAGACGATTAAGGCATAAACCAGGGGCTCCTCGGTGGTTCAGTCAGTTGAGTGTCCGACTTTGGCTCAGGTCATGA